TTATCGGACGGTAGTTGGCAGGGCAGTCGCGATCGCCTTCTTGTGCAAGTAGAACTCGTCGTGCCTTGGACTTGGTTCGGCGTGAGCGTTGTCTGGTCAAAGAGCGCGTGGTTGAACACGAGCTCGAGCGCGCTGGCCCACTTGACCGGCGCCAATTTGAGGATTTCGTACGGCAGGTCGTCGTGGTTGTTGCAATGAGATATGTATAAAGATGAAGTGGTCCTCCTACCGGTATTGCGCTCGTGGGCCAGGTCATTGCGTCAACCGAGCACTGTCGTCGTCGTGAGAGTACCAGTGCAGTACTCTCACGACGACCTGTAGGGTATCTCCAACACGATTGCGTACGACATGATGTTGAAGCCAAGGTGCACTTTGCACTACTCATCTGTGCGAATTCGAGCGTCGCGACAATGTGATTGGCTGATAGCAATGGCAAATTCGCTCTACAATCCACACGAGTCCCGCCACGCTTCTTCTGCTAGACGCGCAACCAGCGTCGATAAAAAGGGGTATTTCAACAAAATAAAAGCGACTGAAGTCAACGCAAACGACTACACATCGGCGCCCTCCGCTGTCGCGCGCAGGAGCTGCAGCTGGCATAGCACGGCAGCATAGTGCCGCATAAAGAACGCACGCTGGTCGTAATGGCCCGTCGTGAGCTTGGCGGTGAGCTGCGCGCAAAGCTCCTTGTCGGTGGCCGCCTCCACATTGTAGACGGCGGCGAGGTCGCGCAGGGCCACGTCGCCTTGGGATGTGAACGGGTGTCGGATTGTGTAGAACGTCCGACAGCGCGTCAGCGATGGTCCGACGCGGTCGGCCACGATCCTAAAAGGCCACAAGTCATCATCCTACCTCGCGCCAAAAGATGAGTCTTACCACTGCTTGGTGTCAATGGTCCATTGGCGCCCGTGCTCGATAGTCTCGTCTCTGGGGCCGTTGGCCTCGTCGTGCAGGATCGTCCGCAGCGCAATCGTCATCCGGTCATGTTCCCGGAATCGGCCGCTGAGCACGTTGTAGCGCACGACGCGCTGGCCGGGGTACGGGATCTCTTCTGGGAGGTACTGAATGTCTTGGTGCTCTGTTTGTAAAAACGTGTGCCGATCGAGGAGGAAATTCGTCGTCCTCTCACGGTACGCGGAAGCAAACGTCTTCTCGGCGACCCAGTACCCGGCGGCCACGTCATCGAGGCTAAATGGCATGAACTCTTGCGTCATGACTTGGATGCTCAGAAGCGGGCACATGGGGTTGTCGCCAAAGGTCACGTGCACGTCGAGGCAGTTGCTGGCGTCGACTGGAAAGGCCACGTGCGCGAGTGCGCGGTCTGTGTTGTGGTAGACTTGCCGCAGAATCCACTCGTACGCTACTTGGCGCGAGGCGTCGTCGCCCGCGAGCAGCTGCGAGTGGCGCCACGTTTCCTCGACCAGGCTGGGCACGCGCTACTCGTGGATGGATGGATGATTCGAGAATGCAGTGGCGTGTACCTCGTTGGGCCGCACGACGCGCGCCATCCAGTCTTGGAGAGTCGCCAGTAGCGTCTTGGCATGGGCCACTTGGCGCTTCAGCGATCGGTTCTCACGGACTTGCTCGAGCGTGTCGTCTTGGAGCGCCTTGGCCACGTCGTGCCACGACAGCGGCGCGCTGTGCCCGGGCCGCTTTGGGATCGCCTCGAGCTCCTGCGTCAGGTCGTAAATGTAGTTGCGCAGCGACTGCATCTGCCGCGCACGCTTGGACCGGATGTGCGCCAGCCGCGGGTCCTTGGACGGCCGCAGGCGTGGCGGCGCGCCCTTCGTCTTGGCGACGGCGTCGAGCATTAGTACGCTCGCGGCTCGGGTGTGCAATGCGTCTGTGTCAAGAAGGTCGGAATTACGGGCAATTGGGTTCAAAATACCGGCATAGCAATGCCAATACATTAAAAAAGATCAAAATATCCGGCTGGCCAATCCGAATCGTTTGAGCGCAGCTGAACATCTTGGTTTTTGTATCGAGAAGCATCTATTGCTCGAAATACCGGTATTCTGGACGCCATTGGGGCAACTCCCTCAAAACCACGTGGCGTCGTGCAGTACAGAACTGGATACCACTCCTTGGGGACGTGTACTGGATTTGGATGTATGCGCTTGGCGCGCTCCGATCCCAGCCATCAGCCACCTGAAGATGCTGCATCCATCGAGTACACTGTGTCTATTAGTATGTAAAGCTGTAGCTGGTATCCCACAGCGGCCATCGACGAGCATGACGCGCCAGCGGCAGCTGCCAGTTCGCAACGGCGACGGCGCCGTGCAAGGAGGTAGCCGGCTGCTATTGCATGGCGACAGGCTGCCGCCCGCGTCCCTTCAATCGGGGCATCTGATCGGCTCGGTATTTTCAGAGGCTGCCCGACGGTACCACCGGGTAGCCACTCTTTTTCTTCTGGGTTGCACCCACGCATTGCAATCGCCGTGATCACGTTGGAGTCATCAGGCTCTCTAATCACTCGACCCTTTGTCCTTCCCGCCACCAGGTTGACTCGACGGCTTACTGTAGGCTGTCGCGTGTATTAGACCTGTGTCGTGGGGTCGTTCTCAAGCGCAAACTCGTGGGTCGAATCGTACAATATGCATTGTTACGACGACAGAGCCTAGCCGAGCGGTGGGGACCGATGCTCGTTTGCCGGTGCGATCAACGCCAGTATTTCTTCAAAGCGTCGCTTGAAGAAGACGCGCTGGTTGACATGCGACTGCTCGTACCGCGCTCGCACGCCGGCGGCAATGACCTTGGTATCGTCGCTCTGAATGTTGTAACAGGCGGCGAGCTCGCGGAGCGAGACGTACCCGCCGCCTTCGGTGAACGGGTGGTCGATCGTGTAAAAGGTGCGGCAGCGCGTGGTCGTCGGGCCGATGCGGTCTGCGACCCACCACTGCTTGGTGTTGAGCACCCACGTGTTGCGCTCGAGCGGGAAGAGCTCGTCCTTTAGCACCGTCCGCAGCGCGACGACCGTTCGATTTGGCTCGCAAAACTGGCCGCGCACGACGTTGTAGCGCGTCTTGTGGTGCTGCGAGCTCGAGTCTTCCTGCACGAGCTGCACGTCCGACGCATCCGATGGCACGAAAAGGTCTTCAATCGCGCCTTGGCGGCGGTACGCCTTGACGAACGACCGCTCCGTGCGCTCGAGTGCGTTTGTCACAACCTCGAGCGGG